TGAGAGAAAAAGAAGGGTCAAAGAGAGTATTTGGTTGTGGGTTGAAGCATGGGCTTCAGTGACTGAGAGGATGCTTCTCTTGGTGCGCACTGACAGAAAAAAAGAGAAGAGTGTGAAGATTTTGGAAGGAAAGACAGGACTTCAGCTTTTGACATATTAGATGAGATCCTGTACATAAGAATGGCTATACTGGGTCAGACCAAATGTCTATCTAGCCCAGTACCCTGTCTTCCAATGGATGCCCCAGTTGGAGTGAACAGAAAAATGATCCCTCTCCTGTCACCGATTTCCACTGGCTAATAAGTATTGATGGACCTAACTTCCATGAATGTATATAGTTCTTTTTTGAACCCTGTTCAAGTCCTGGTCTTCACAATATCCTCTGGCAAGGAGTTCCACAGATTATCTGTGTTTTGCATGAAAAAAAACCTTCCTTTTGTTTGTTTTAAACCTGCTACCTATTAATTTCATTTGATGCCCCCTTGTTCTTATGTTATGGGAACAAGTAAATAATTATTGCTTGTTCACTTTCTCTATACCTGTCATGATTTTATAGACCTCAATCATGTTCTCCCTTAGTCTCCTCTTTTCTAAGCTGCAAAGTCCCAGTCTTTTTAATTTCTCTTAATATGGCACCCATTCCAAACCCCTGATCATTTATGTTGCTCTTTTCTGAACCTTTTCCTGACCTGATTAATGTCAATGGGACTGGGGAGTCAATTCCTATGTTTTCACTGAGGCCTAGATTTCACACAGTTGAAGTTTCTGACAAAGCATACAGGATGAGATGTCAGAGAGACAAGTGAAGACACAGGGTTGGGTGGAAGGAGACAAACTAGAAGCAGAGAAGTAGCTTTGTAAATCAATGGCATAAAAATGGGAACTTAAGTCATATGGGTTACATCTAGACTACAGGCTTTTGTTGACAGATACTGTCGACAAAGCTTCTGTCGAAAAAGAGCATCTAGACTACATCCAGTTCTGTCAACATCCATTTCTGTCAAAGCAAGCCACTTTGTCGACATGAAAGTGTAGACACAAAGGACAGTGTAGAAGCAATAACGCCTTCTGTCCACAGAACTCTGTCGACAAAAAGCATTATTCCTCGTAGAAAGAGGTTTACCGCCATCGACAAAACTACCGAGTTCTGTCAACGTTATGTTGACATAACTCGGCGGTGGTGTAGACACAGGGATAGTTTTGTCAACAAAAGTCCACTTTTGTCGACAAAACTCTGTAGTCTAGACACACCCATGGGGATTAGATAGATGAGTGAATAAAGTGGGAAAGAATGTGGAGAGATAAGAGGATGTGATAGGATGGATCCCTATGAGATCGTCCTGGAAAGTGGGAGGGCTAAGTAGGAGATCCCACCAAAGAAGAAGGTGCTAAAGGAATGATCAGAGAAGTATGAGAAAAATAGGAGAGGACATAGTCATCAAAGCCAAGATATGACTGATTGTGTGAGAAGCAGAGGAGAAATAAAAAAGGATGGGAATAGAGTAGAAGTTCTGAGGTTTGGCCATGGTGCAGACATATTTAGGGGTAAATTAGATCTAAATAACAACGCACAACAGTCAGAGCCAGAACTGGCATCTGTAAACAAACTTTGCCAGTCTGTGGGAAACTTGGCCCTACCCACGATAAGCGGACATCCTTCTAACTAAAATCATGTGAGACCACAGATGTTTATGGACCAAAGAGTGCTGCATTAGAGAGGTTTAATCTGCCTAAGGATAGTTAAATCATATATATAGTAGCCCAATGTCTGAGACTTTGTAACAGTGTAACATTGTCGGTTGCCTCTGGGCGGCACTGTTGCTTCTGTAACGTCCTTCGCCTCCCGCCGTGGCGCTCGGCTGACTTCTCAGGAGCAAGCGACACAAACAGCCGTTTGGGTTCTGCGGTCCCCATGCAGACCACGGAGCCCGAACGGCCATTTGCACTGCTGGCTCCTGTGCGGCGTCCCGGCTAAGCAGTGCAGAAGTCATCCAAGCACCACGGTGGGAGGCGAAGGGGGCGGGGCAGTGACATACATGGCCAGGGGGTGGGGCCTGGACGAATGTGCATCCCCAACGAAGACAGAGAGGAGGGCGGAGAAGAATGAAGGAGACTGAGAGGAGGTGGAGGAGAGCGGAGAGAGAGTGAGAGGCAGGAGGGGGAGAAGAGAAAGAGAGAGACGGAGAGAAAGGCAGGAGGCAGAGGAGAGCTGAGAGAGGAGGGGAGGCAGTAGGAGGAGGGGAGAGAGAGAGAGACGGAGCAAGAGACCGGAGGCTCAGGAGAAAAGACTGAGATAGAAAGGATATAGGACGTGGAAGAGAGACCCGAAAATCCCGTGTTATGATGGGCTAATTGGCTGGTTCTGGAATAGTTTTCCAAAGCAAGTTGTGAAATTTCCATCACAGAAGGTTTTTAAAAACAGGTTAGACTGGTCTAGAGCTATATCTACGCTCTCAGCTATCTTGCGTGAGAAATATGCAAATGAGGCTAAGTGTGGAATATCGCCGGGCCTCATTTGCATACCTAATGAGCCACCATATTTGCAGAAGAGGCTCTTGCGCCAGAAGGAGCTGTCTACACTGCCCCTTCTTGCACAAGAAAAACCCTCTTGCGCAATGCTGCTACACTGATTATTTTCAGGAATAACAGCATTGCGGAAGAGGAGTTTTCTTGCGCAAGAAGGGGCAGAGTAGACAGCCCCTTCTGGCGCAAGAGCCTCTTCTGCAAAAATGGTGGCTCATTAGGTATGCAAATGAGGCCCGGCAATATTCCACACTTAGCCTCATTTGCATATTTATCACGCAAGAAGCCACAAGCGTAGACATAACCTAGGTGTATTGGATCCTGCCTTAGCACAGCAGGATACACTAGATGACCTATCCAACTCCCTCTGCGCTACATCTCTATGGTTCTATAAAACACAGGAGGGAAGAATTATAGGAGGAAGTTGAAGGTGGCAAACAGCCTGAGATTGTGAGTATAGGATTCATGACATTTTCAAAAGTAGTGCTTGACCAAAAAAATGGAAGAACTAAGGTCCTGATCCACAGCCCATTCTCATCAATGGACTTAGTATTAGGCTCTAAAAGAAGAGCAAATCTGTAATGACACAGCCATGAAAGTTTCTCACCAAGCATGCAGCAGTGTATAATAGAGAAAGCAGATGGTGTGGATCATTGCAACAGATTTTGTGGTGGAAGGACTTACGAATAGCATAAAGATTGAAGAACAGGAATTCTGTGATTGAACCAGTGAAGGAGAGGGAGAATAGTTTGAGAAAAAGGAGTCAGAGAAGTCATCAATATTGATGGACTGGAGGCCACATAAAGGTTAAGGTGCAGGGATGTGGACCAGGAAATAAATGTGCAGTGATGAAGAAAATTATGTGAATTGCAAGAGACAGGAAACATGGTGGTGATGCAAAGATCAGAGACAGGGCAATGCTTAATGAAGACAAGTTAAACGTACATTAAAACATACCTCGTGACAAATTCATCAGGCCATTTCTTTACATTCAAAACAGTGTTGTAAATCTGTCAGTGCACAAAACATCAGAATTTGAAAAAGCAAATGCTTTTGGATACAGTGTATTTTTTTTAAGGGTCAGAATAGTCCTCTGAGACAAAGGTCTTGAGTTTCAAAGCTGTAGAAATAGCTGATAGTCTGTAGGTGGCATCAGCAACCTCTGAAGACTGATGTAAATCTATATCCCTTTGTGAGAGTTTTATTATACTAAAAGCAAAATTTAGAATTAGTGCCTGCCTAAGACTCAGACCAAAATTTCTGACATATTCTTTTTCTACCAAAGGATAACATCTGATAATTAAATAAAAAAGAAAATAAGTCTATAACATAGATATGAAGTAGTCGTCCATACTATTAAGACCACTGAAATAAAATACAGAATAGTTTTGTTAAACACAGATATTGTAACTGAACTTTACTGATGCATTTTTCCCTAATGGCACCTGAGCAGCTGTCTAGTACCATTATCACATGTCCCTGTTATTTCTGTCATTATGTAGCATAAGCTTAAACTCGCAATTATGAGGGGAGAGGAAAGAGTACTTGTTTTTGGTTAAATACACATATCCACTATTGAGAAGAACACATGCTATACTTGAAAGAGTATTAAATTAATTATTTAATTTAAAAAATCAATATTTTTTAAAAATACAGTCATTTAAATTGCCCATATAAATAAAGCATGTACATTTTCCTTTTATTTAAAAAAAAAACTTGAGTTAAAAACCTGGGTAAATTTGTTAATAATTAAATAAATCTGAGGGGCTGGGAATGGACTTGGGTTTGATTCATACTCTTAAGGTAACTATGTTTGGACGTTGTACAAACTGCATTGCTCAAATTTAGGGTAATTTTTCTATAATGCAAGTAAAATGCTATTTTTTTTAAAGTCTGTGGAAATTTTTGTGATTTATACTCTAGTTCAAAGAACAGAATAGAACACATCTGTTGCCCCAACTAGACCCCTTGTAGAGACCAGTCTCTTGTAAGGTAATTTCCAAAGTAGGATACACAAGGATAACTTGACAGGCCAAATTCTCTCCTTCCACCGAGCTTCTTTAAGCAGAGCAGAGGAGACTAGGAACTAGTTACAGCGCCCTAATTCAGAGAAGCAAAGTGTGTTGTCCTCAGTAAGAGAAAAAACAGCCAATGGGCTGTTGTAAATTACATAGATGCTAATGGACTCAGTGGATGATAGACATAACTGAACTCCACTCTGCCACTCCCGCTTTCCATCCCTATATTGTCCTTTTCCTCCCCCAACAAATTGCATATTGCAGAGAGTGGAGTGACTAGTGCAGGAGCCATCTCTGCTGGCTGTATGGCAACAAGGAGTTCTACACCACTTGAGCCAGATTCAGACCACCTTTCACTGTCTTAGTGGTTCAAAGGGTCTTGGTGGAGAATCTGGACTTACTTCTTCAGTGTGCTGGCAGGCATTCTGTGAAGGCTCTTGGAGCTGCTGATAGGCCAAAATGGAGCATTCTGTTTCAGAACTGGTTACTGCTTATGCAGAACCTCAAGTATTTTCCAAGGGCTTAGTTTAAAAGAAATGTGGAAATAAGCACCTTTAAACTGGGACCCTTAAACTATTCTTGTTAGACTTAGGAAAGGGATAAAACAAACTAAAATTACCACATAGACCTTGAAGCTTTATGTGTACCTCTTCTGTTTTCTTAACTGTCTTATTTCTTTGGAATGATGAATAGGAAAAATGGAGCCTTTGTGTTGCTGAGGGACTTCTTATGGAGAGTGTAATTAGAAGAAAGAAACTACTTAATCCATCAGCAATTCCTCATAAGCAGAATCCCTGAAGAAGAGAGGGGAAATGGCATCAAGTGATGGAATTAAATAATGTATCCTTTCCTGTGAATAATTTCTAGGTCTTATTTGTTAAAGAGCAGCTCCACTTTTTGAAATGATGAAGGAAAGATTATTTCAATAAGACAATATGGAGGAGTGGACATCCTCTAGATTTACAAGTAAGCTCACTAATATCACATCGGATTTACTACTCATTAGAAGATGCTCTGGATGAAGTGGAAGATGAGGGATTTGACTTTTCCATGATTCCTATTCTATTTGGAGAAAGTCTGTTTCTTATGAAGGTGTTGATATTGACCCTCTGCATTGCTTGGAAAAGGACTACCTATTATATCTGAATAGAGTAGATATAAACTGTGCATTGCTGGTTTATCTCACCATTAACATGTATAATTTCACAATCTTTCAATTAACAGTATGTGGAAGTTGGAGTTTACTCCTACTTTAGAAAATAGGTGATTATAGACTTAGTTTTGTTTAATGATCGAAACAACCTTGGTCTCATTGTACCTAGATAACTAAACATTTACTGCTAGTGATAAAAATAAGATAATAAAATATACCTTACAAATAAAAACAAGGCAGATGGTAATATATCTTTTATGGTGCCTTCTTTAAGCTGCATATAAACAGAATATACCTTTTTTCCCCACCCCCAAGAAATGTTCTTACCTTATTTTCTACATCTAGAGCATCACTTATAATCCTTTTTATTTGCAGCCCAGAGACTAATGCAGCATCAGTCATACTTCCATGTGGATTTTATTCTTTGATGTTACAGCATTATCAGAACTTGAAGGCACAGAAATTAGACTACAGTTTACATAAAACCACACACACAAAACCTTTTCAAATAACATTTCCAGTGTGACTTAACACCTTCAAAAGCAAGAAAATTTAAACTGAAGCCTGAAACTCCATCCTTAATTCAATGTATTGTTACAAGCTACTGCAGAATTTATTATATAAGATCGTGCAGTATTTGAGGACCCTGCAATCAAATTTCAAGTTCAGCCTTTAATTCCCTTACTTGTATTGGGTTAAGGAATGTTCTTAAAGTTAGGCTCAAGTAAACCACATAGGGCACGTTTACACAGCAAGGCTAAAGCTGAAATAAGCTACATCACTTGCTTAGCTTAAGTCAAAATAGCTTATTTCGGCTTTTGGCACTGTCAACACAGCAGGAAGTCCAAAAAAGAGCACTCTTCCTCTGACTTCCCTTACTCCTCATAAAATGTGGGTTTCAGGAGTCGGAGTAAGAAGTCCTCCAGCTCGACATTTTGATATTATGTTGAAATAACTGTAGTGTAGGCACGGATTATGTTATTTCGGAATAACGTCAGTTATTCTGAAATAACACTGCTGTGTAGACATACCCGTATGTACTTACATTTCTTTTTGTTACAAATAAGAATGATCACACTAGGCTTGTCAAGGTGCATCTACACTGCACCATTATCTTGAAATAAGCTACGCAATTTGAGCTACGCAAATTATGTAGCTTATTTCAAATTAATTTCAAAATAGCTTATTTTGAAATTTGGCACTGTCTGCACAGCACCAAATTTTTGAAATAGAGCGTTATTCCAAAACATCCCTTAATCTCATGAAATGAGGTTTACCGGGACATCGTAATAACGAGCCTCTTATATTTCAAAATAACGGGCTTGCTCAAAAGACATGGAATAGCTATTTTGGGATACTTCTGGTATCCTGAAATAGCTCCACAGTGTAGATGTAGCCTCATAGGGTGGCTGGTCCCAGGACCTGAAGTACAGGTTGGACCTTACTTGTCCAGCACCTCTGGGACCTGACCAATCCTGAATGAGGGAATTTGCTGGACCTGAGGAGGTCCCCTATTACCGGGTCCTCAGCCCTCGCTGCCAGGCCTAACCCTCCCCCCTCCACTGCGCTGCCATGTTGCTGTGGCCCCAGTACCCCGCACTGCCGCATCCCCAGCCCTGATACTGCGGCTGCTGCATCCCTGGCCCTGCTACCGAGGCTGCCGAGGTTGCTACATCCTCAGCCCCGCCTCTGCTACCGGGGCTGCCGCATCCCTGGCCCTGATACTGTGGCTGCCATGGCCCCGGCTGTGCTAGCAGGGACACCAGCCCTCTTGCCACTGGGACTTACAGCCAGGACTTCCTGGTCCAGGAACATCCATGGTCCTGGTGGACCATGGAATTGCTGAAAGAGGGAGTCCTGGTTTTTGGATGTCCAACCTGTAGGTTCAGCACTCTTGTGCCAGAACGTGTGCTCCCAGTTGGGCTAGTTAAGGAGCCAGGGCTGCACCTGGGGCTATAAAGGATCAGAGAGAGACCCACAGCTGATCTACACCTGAAACTTAGCTATGTCACTAGGGGCATGTCTACACTAGGAAATTATTTTAAAATAACTCCTGAAAGAACTTTCAAAATAAGCTTATTCCCCACTGAAAGTAGGAGTACAGATTTCAAAATAACCAGCCCGTTATTTCAAAATAACACTCCACTTATTATTTCAAAATAAAGGGGGTTATTTTGAAAAAAAAAACCTCCCCAGTGTAGACCATAGAGGTGTGAAAAAACCCCACCCCTCAGAGACGTAGTTAAGCTGATCTAAGCCCCCATGTAGACAACAGTAGGTTGAGGAAAGAAATCTACTTGCTACTATTTAGAGAGTTGGATTTTAAGGATGTTAAAATGCAATTATTTGGCTAATTGTATAGTCAATACAATAAGCACCTCTGCAGAGCCACAGCGGAGGTAGCTACAGAGGAGCTGACTTGAGCCAGGACTGAGCACCTCGGTCTTGGAAGTCATCTCTCCACCAAAGTTGGCATTGATGTGGAAATCCAGCATCTCCTGAGCCTGTGCAAGCTCTTCTTTTGCCCACCAGAGACAAAGGGTCTTTGAGAACTGGGACATCAGTGCCAAGACAAAGCTTCTTGAGTAACGCACAGTGATTGTTCCAACACTTCTGAATGAATGAGAAACCCGGTTAACATATAAGCTACACCTGAAGGCACTTGAACAATATCATCAATGCTCCTTAGAAGAATCCTAAATATCCTTTGGGAGGACAGGCGCGCACAAACCCTAGCATCATGGAAGAGTTGAACATGACCAGCATTGAAGCCATCATCATCTACCAACAATTTTGCTGGACTGGTCATGTAGTCTGGATGCCTGATCAGCACATCCCAAAATAGATTCTGTTTTCCGAGCTGAAGGAAAGACAGAGGAGCTTTGGGAGCCAGAAGAAGTGATTTAAGGACATGTTGAAGGCAAACATAAAAAAGTGTGGCATCAGTGTCAACACCTGGGAGAACTTTGCCCAGGACCATCCCCAGTGGAGAGCAGTAATCCGTGAGGGGGTGGCACAATCTGAGAGGTCGCACCACAGCACAGACGAGGAGAGACAGAGAAGGAGAAAAGAGCAGCAAAAACTGCCCTGCGTCCCTCCAATAACCACGAGTACCTGCCTCTTCTGACCAGAATCGAGCTGGTCAACCATCAACCGATCCACAAATGGGGGGGTGACAGGAAGACGTCCTATTCATTATCGAGTGACTGCTGAGAGAGACACAATGGAGCTATTTTGGATACCTCTGGTATCCTGACATGGCTATTCTGTGTTTGAAGAGCAAGCCCGTTACATCGAAATATAATGGGCTCAATATTCCAACATCCCTGTAAACCTCATTGCACAAGGGATAAGGGATGTTTTGGAATAGTTCTTTATTCAAAATAAGCTATTTCAAAATAACATCAAAATAAACTACGCATTTTGTGTAATGCAAATTTTGTAGCTTATTTCTATGTGTAGACCATAATTGGCCTAACTGGGAGAACTGTTGTGGCACAGAAGGCTAGGTCTCTTTCGGTGACAGGAGCCAGTCAGCCAGCGTGTGACTGTGCTCAATCCCTCTATTTTGATTTTAATGGGAGCAATTTTGATCTCATGGGTTTTGTTCATTTCCTCTGGGGCACCTGGCATTGACCACTACTGGAAGACAGGATGCTGGGCTGGATTGACCTTGGGCCTGACCCAGTGTGGCTATTCTTATGTTCTTATGTATATGAGATGACAAAGCAGATAATTTTTGATGATTTGGATCCATTGCAATTCATTACTATATTCAAATACATAATGTATGTAAGAACATGGAGTTGTTGCCAAGGTTTTTGCTAAAATAACTTGATTTGTATTATGTGGACCATAACACAAAGGCGTGTTAATACTGATATGTACATTAAAATAATACTTTAAAAATGAAAAACGTTGATTAGTTTTATATTTTAATAATGCCTAAAAGGCCAGGCCTACATTATAATCCAACTGTGAAAATGCTCACTGAAACAAAAGCATTTTGAGTTATAGAAATACCAACAGTAAAAGAACAATGGGGTCTGATGCGTCTTCCATTTAAGTCACTGTCAAGACACCCATTAGATTTGTTTCAGTGTTTAGCAGATCAGTTTGAAGTGCTTAAATTCAAAATAACACTATAACTACTCTTTTCAGGAAGAAAAAAAACCAAACATACATACAGTAGAAGATGTAATGTCACCAGATCAGAACTATGATTCTTAGTAAAACACGCAATTTGTAAAAAGTATGCAGTTGAACTCCTGGCAAAGTAAACCTATGGGGTGTGTCTAGACTGGCAAGATTTTGCGCAAAAACTTGCCAGCTGTCTACACTGGCTGCTTGAATTTGCGCAAGAACACTGACTTTGTAATGTACAAAATGTACTTTCACACTCCAGCTTGGGAAAAAGCCCTCTTGCACAAGAATACTTGCTCAAGGGGGGCAAGGGTAGACAGGGAAGAACTGATTTGTGCAAAAAAGCCCCGATGCCTAAAATGGCGATCAGGTCTTTCTTGCACAAAATCATGTCTAGACTGGCCACGGATGCTTTTGCGCAAAAGCACTATTTGTGCAAAAGCATCCGTGCCAATCCAGATGCACTTTTGCGGAAATACTTTTAATGGAAAAACTTTTCTTTTAAAAGTATTTCCGCAAATCATGCCAGTCTAGACGCAGCCATGGGGTGCGTACACACCCCAGGTTAAGAACCACTGGCTTAGAGGATCCACCCTGCTGTAACAACCCTGTGTGTTATAAAATACAAGGCATAAGCTGAAGGGTAAAGTCCTAGGAGACAGAATCAGCTGCTTTCACAGTGATTTCTGACTAGAAAGTTCTTTTGTTCTGTCTCAAGTTCCAAGTTTTATCATTTTATTTTTCTACATCAAGTTTTTTGTCGTGCTTAATAACCACATAGGCCTAAACATTTTTCTTTTTTGAGGAATTTTAGTAAGGAGGGAATTGATGTTAATAGATCATACCTCCTGTCCTGGTCTATCCCAGTATGGAAGGCTGGGTGTGTATCCCTCTTCTGAAGAAGGGATAATCAGAAGCCTCTGGCAGGCTGGAAGGAGAAGGGAATGAGAGGTTCCATGATGCAAGTTAACACTGGAAGAGGGAAATGGGACAATAATCAGGAAAAAAAATATAACAACGTGTGTCTCGAATCATGTTGTAGCACCACCAGCTATAGCAACTAGTGTAGACCAGCCCTGCTGAGAGCATGTCCAAGCAACATCGTGGTTAAAATGCTCGTAACTGCTGGCACTTCAACAGCTGGCTACTACACTGATATGCATGTGCAGAAAGGCGGCTTTGGGCAACACTTGAGTCATTTGCCAAAGCAAGGAAGCATTTCTCGGGTTACTGTAACATGTAGCTGACAGCCGCAGGTAACTATGGAGCTGGGCACGCCAGGGTCCCCGTTTCACGCACACTTTGTTGCTGGCAGGCAATGCCCTTTGCAAAGAAGAGAATGTTCGGGGGCGGGGGGGAGGGAAACCATTTACAATGGGTTGCCCGCACAGGCCGCTCCGCCAAACAGCTGCTG